CACTCCTTGACACCAAGACTGGGTGCTGGCCGGGGAAAGAGGGATTTCATGGCAAGAAGAGAGGAGTGGGGAGGGCATGACCTTGGAGTAAGAATGCTGGCAGGGGGAGGAGTCATTGATTCAACAGACGTTTATGGAGGCCCTACTACGCGCCAGCCACTGCAGAGAAGGCAGGCACAGCCTGTCCTCAGGGCGGTAACAGCCTAGAGAGACGAACAGCCATAGAGCCATGTGAGTGCCCTACAGTGGGCTGATGGTGGCCCCCAAAAGACCTGTCCAGCTCCTAACCCCTGGATCCTCTAACTGTGACCTTATTTGAAAGTAGGGTCTTTGCAGATGTAATTAACTTAAGGATCTGAAGATGCAATCATCCTGATCCTAAATATAAATTTAGACTGGTCTTCCTATGAGAGACAGGAGAAGGCGATTTGAGACACAGACGCAGACGGAAAGGCCATGTGAAGCAGAGGCAGAGACAGGAGTGACGCATCTACGACCCAAGGAACCCCAAGGCTTGCCGGCTACCTTCAGAAGCTGGGAGAGAGGCACGGAAGGAACCAACCCTGCCCACACCTCAACTTTGGACTTCCGGCCTCCAGAGCTCTAAGAGAATAAATTTCAGTTGCTTTAAGCCACGTAGTTGGGGGCGTTTTCTACGGCGGCCCCACAATACTCGGCCCATCCTCACGTTCTGAGCAAGCCCACAGGAGACAAGGGCGGGCCAGGCAGGCCGGGAGGGGCCTGGGAAGTGGAGGTGGGGCTGGTGCTTGCAGGTCCAGGATCAGAACCGCTGGAGAGACTGCCAACGGTGACGGCAGAGGCCAGCCCTGAGCTGCCGAGTCGGGCTCTGTAGGGGGCGGCTCTGGGCCTCTGCGTTCTACACGAGCTCTCCAGGCACACCCCAAACCTGGCATGTGCTGCTGGGCTCTGGGGAGACTCGGAAGTTCTCCGTCGGTGGGTCAAGCTCTCAAGCTCTGTCTTGGGGATCAACCGTCAGCAACACAAGGCTCACTGAAGGATAAGGGTGAGAGATGAAGGAGCAGCCAGGGTGACTGGGACATGGGGACATTGAACAATCAAAGGGGCAAAGGGCACGATACAGTCTACTCTCCTGAACAGTCGGGTACCATTCTCCCAGGAAACAGTGATGGGTCAGCTTCCATCCCCATCTGGAAGGGCTCAAGGGGCCTGCAAGTCCTTTCAACACCACTCCTAGATCCACGGGGCAGGGAGACAAGGAGGACGTCAACCTCCACGGTCATCACCTCCTAAAGAGCCGGGCGCGGGGTGGACAAATGTCTCCAAATCCCTCAGTTAGCACAGGGCCCACCCGGGAGAAGCTGCTCGATGAAGGGTCGTCATGGAAAGATGGTGCCGGAGGAGTGACAGAGCAGGCATCTTAGGTACCCGCTAGTCCAGATACCCCCAAGGGCCTTCTAAGGATGTTCAGGTGCAGGAGTGTCTCAAACACCAGAGGGAGAAAGGATGTCCCCGCTGGTATCAAGAAGGAGACTACCTTCCTTCGCAGACAGAATTCTCGAGACAGGAAGGAACTGGGGGCAGATCTGCTGGAATCCTGGGCCAGCAACCTCTCAGGTCTCGCAGTCAGAATTCTTCCCTTTGGTGACCCCAAGGAGGTGACTCGACCCTCTGGGGTCTGTCTTCCTCCCTCCTCTCTCTGTCCCCCCCTCCAGAGAGAAGCTGGCCGGATGCGTCCTTCATCTGTAAGGTCTCCAGATGCCCCGGACAGGTCCGCCCCTAACCCCGCAGGGTAGGAGCATTCCCAGCGCTGCTGAATATTTCATAGAGGGCAAGAAGTCGCAAGGAGGACGTTTCTCTTTGAAATGTTAAAACTGAATGTGGGAGTCAAGGACGAAGCAGGACTTGGAGAGAAAATAATCGATTCAGCAGGTGAGAGCTTATTCTGGGCCTGGGGGGGCGGGGGACAGGAGTCTGTAGGAACACCCCTGTCTGTAACATGACTTCCCTCCTGAATGGAGGATGAGCCCCTCGCACATGGTTGGTGAGAGGCCACCGTGAACTCGAAAGCCTTCCCGGGGGCTGCCTTACTGCACTGCCCGGGGTGGCTGGTCCCACAGTCCTTGATGCTCGATTCTGAGGTGACCTCTCTGTAGCCTCCAGGCTCAGCCTCGCCCTGCTGCTGAAGCACCCTCGTCCACCACTGCCCCTCGCCTCTAAGCGCAGCTGGGGGCTGGCTTAACTCTGGCACGACGGAGCGATGGAGCCTGGACCAGGGAGCTGAGAAAAGAAACCCCTCTGACTGGGGAGGTGATCCATCCTGTCAGTGGCCTGTGACTGAAGAACCCTCCTCTTGCCTCCACCCACGCTGTCCAGCCCTGCTTCCAGGACCAGCCCCTATGAGGACACCCCAGCTGTCCTGTCCAGCCCACACTGATGCCTGAAGCTCTCGTGTGTGGTGACGTGTGACGTGCTCTTCTTGGCTTCCCAAGAGAGGCAGCGGAGCGTGGAGGTGAAGAGAACAGAGTCCTCCAGAGTCGGATGGACCTGGGTTCAAAGCCTTGCTGGGTCAATCACTCCAGTGTGAGGTTTCGGGCGAGTCCTGCACAGGACATGCTCTTGGGGCCCTGCCCGCATCCCCTGGGCACTCGGTGCTCCCGTGTACGTGGAGTGCTTACCCTCACAGGCACCTGCCCTTCCCCGATGAGGGCTTCCCTCGGTGCTAGGACGGTGCCTGCATAGAGCAGACCTGAACTGATGGGGGAACTTGAACTGGCGGATAAATGCATCAGTTGTCTCACCCTTGGGGTGGAATAACGCCAAGCCATGCTCTGGCCGTCCCCCAGAGGTCCCCAATGGGACCCAGCCTCAGGTGCCTGTAGTATCAGCTGCTCATTATCACACCTGAGCTGGCCTCCTGTCCTCCCCGGCTTCGTTCCTCATGCTCCCACGGCATCACCTCCACAGTAAACCCCGTGCCCTCAAACCCATCCCTCAGGCTCCACTCCTGGGGGAGCTCAACCCCAAAAGCCATGTCCTACGTCAGGTTCTTCCTTGGGAAGTCGCAGACAGGAGCTGCACCAGGGCTCGGGGACCAAAGGGGTGCGATGCGCAGGTGAACTGGCGGGCACGCAGCCCCCAGGCAGCGTCAGCTGTTCCCTCACCAGGAGGTGGGGCGGCTTCCCCAGACAACGGGCACGGACCCGTGTGCAGGACCCCAGCAGGCAAGACAGGGCCCAGGCTACGGGGAGGGACAGCGTCAGACCCTCCCCACCTCACACCCGACCTCTGGCCCCCGAAAGCAACGCCACGGGGAGACGCAAAGTTGGGGTGGGCACGGGACAGAGAGCAAACACCTGGGTTCGGATCTAGAGGTTTGGTTAACGCGGCCCCGAACCGGGATTTATACGGATTCCCTGTGATTCGATGCATTGGTGGCCGGAGCGACGTCTGCCTCCACAGACGGCCCGCAGCCTCCCTGCCCTTCATCTCTGCACAATTTTCAACAGAGCTGACTTCAACGGTGCAGTTTGCACCGAGGCCGGTTTGCTAGTTCAAAGCCACAAACCCTTAGTCAGACGACTCAGAGGAAAGACGAGGCCTCTTTCTCCTTCTCTGGAGATGCTGAAGGGACCCTGCGGGAAAGTGCAGGTTTTCTGGGCTGTCCTTTCCCTCGGGGCCACGAACTGGGAAAGCCCACGGCCCGGGTAACAGAGGCACTGATGCCCTGTGTGTGGTGTGATTGTAACAGCCGGCCCCGCAGCGTCACGGAGCCCCGGGGGTTTACAAGGCACAGAAGTGAAAGGCCTCAAGCCTCAGTCCCAACACTGTGAAATATGGAAGTCGCAGGAGCCCGCGGTGGGTGCCCCCATGTCTCTATAGGGTATGTCCTTTATGGTTTAAAGAAATCGTTGATCACAATAGGTGAGTAGCAATTAAAACGCCTTCATCCAACAAACGGGATTACTTTTATGATAAGAAAAAAATCTGTGTGTAAAGAGGTGTTTGCACCACAGATAGAAAAGCTAATTATATCTCTAAATGGAAGAGACAGGCCAGGAACCTCCCCAATTTGGGTTTTTAAATCCGCCCAGTGCTTCACGGGACTCGGCAGTTTCTGAGAAGGAGAGGTGGCGGTGGGACCTAATATTCAAGGTGGGGCGGGACGGGGCTGAAGCAGCAGGAAGGGCTTAGGGGCAGAGGTCAGAGTCCCAGGGGTCTCGCAGCCCCATTCCGAGAGCCAGATAAGGAAGACCCTTCTTTGTTGCATGAGCTCCAATCAGGGTTGGCGCTTAATAAATATCATAAGGGTGGCCCCCGAGCTTGTTAAGCATTGCAGACAACTCAGAGACCCACAGGGGCCATTAACAATCCCCACAGTCGTGGGGTGGGACCTGCACACACGCCCGCTCACCTCTCTGCTTTGCTGCGTGCCCTGCTCAATAGAGTCCCAGATGCCTTCACAGAAACCGCTATTTTTAGACCCCAAGCTCTCTCTATCCTATTGTACGGCTCTCTCGTATTAGGGAGGTGGTGGGAAGACAGTCGAAGGCACTCCGAGAGCTCAGTTCATTTTCTAAATCACTTTGCAGACGTTAACTCATCAATCTCTATGATGCGCGCACACGGACGTGCTGATGCGGCCGTGGTGCAGGCGTGGATCTCAGAGCAATTAAGTGATTTGCCCTGGCTCATGGCGGGGGGGAGGGGAGGAACTGGCGTCAGCATCGGGCGCAGCCTTCCGGAGGCCCGATGCTCAGCACAGGGTGCTGGCTGATGCAGACAAAGCCCCTGGCTCTGCATCCTTGTGCGATTCTCAGAGGCAGGGCGGGTATCGGCCACAAACTTGACACGTGAAGACTCGACAGCCAAACACACACGGTTTCGCTCACCCCCATCCCCAAACACGGGGGGAGGGGCACAGGCAGTAAGACACAGATGCCATCCCGCTACTTCTCCAGGCGCCTTGGAGCCCCACCGCCCACCCCCTCGAGGGGATGGCGCCATCTTCGAAAGCTCACCGCTGCTGGTCCAATCAGACTGCTCCCCGCTGCAGGTCCTGTGTAAGCCCGGGGCTGGAGGAAACAGGCCAGCGGGGTCTTCCAAGATGCAAGACCGGGCCCAGCCGCCGGCGGGGCGATGGGAGAGAGGGGGAGCCCGGGAGACAGTCCTCCTGGTTGGTACAAGGGGGACTAGAAAGGGGAATGGCCGTCAGCACCATTGCTGGGGACAGTGGAACGGATGCAGAGAGAAGGTGGGGGCGGGGTCCCATTGGTTCTCTCTTGCCTCCTTCGGTCACCATCTCTTCCTTTCAATGGGAGTGTGTTATGTTACAGAATCTTGCAATAAACCCATCTGATTTAGATGCAAACTAGCTGATTCGCCAGTTGGACAGCAGTGCCCTGCACCCACTGCATGCCGCTTTGTCGGTTTCCTTAGCTTTCCTTAGCGCCAGCCCCACCGCGAGTTAAGAAAACTAAGAACAGAGACGGAAAAGATGCTAGGACTGTGCCTTCTGTCAAGTTTTTGCTAAAAGCGGGCTCTGAACCATCTAACGAGGATTAAAGAAAGGGGTCATCTCCTTAGCCAGACGGCACCCCGCCAGGGTCCATCCCCGAGCCTACTCACCGATGTCCGTTTCCTTGTGGTTCTTGATGTATTCCGCCAGCTCGAAGTTGCCCGCTATGATGGCCACCTGCAAGAGTGGAAATCATGTTAAGGTGACAACTGCAGGGCAGCGACCTCTTACACACTGTCACGTCACTGGAGGCCTGATGGCAAAATGAGTCCAATCATAGCTCTTTTTTTTTTTTTTTTTACAAGAGATCTCTCTTTTTTTTCAGTTTTATTGAGATATGATGGACATACAACACTGGTCACGGTGCACAGCATAATAATTTGACATAGATACATTGGGAAATGACTACTACAATATGTCTGCCTGACATCCATCACCTCATATAGTTGCTAAACTTTTTTTTCCTTGGGATGAGAACTTTTAGGATCTACTCCCTCAGCAGCGTTCAAGTTTACCACTGTCAACTGCAGTGTTAACCATAGTCCCCATGCTGGACATTACACCCCAGCACTAGTTTGTCTTGTAATTGGAAGTTTGTACTTTTGACCACCTTCACCCGTTTTGCCCACCCCCGACCCCAGGCCTCGGGGAACCACAGATCTGATCACTTTTTCTAGGAGTTTGGGTTTTTTTTTTTTTAATTCCACATATAAGTGAGAGCATACGGTGTTTGTCTTCCTGCATCTGACTCATCTCTCTCAGCACGATGCCTTCCAGGTCCATCCACGTTGTCGCAAATGGCAAGACCAATCGTAACTCTTACGACGGCAGCCGCGACATCCGTGGGCCCTCGAACCCACACAGTCACGTCTTCCCATTCTGTCAAACAGCACACCCGCCCCTCTCAAAGCCCCTGGCCCTTTCACGATGAGGCCATCATTCCACGAGAATCTCTGAGAGCGTGCCTCTGTGCAGAAGGCCCATGGGGGGAGCAATCTGTGCAGCCACGAGGCCCAAGCCTGGAGACCCCCTCGGCCGTGTCCTGTATTCCCACCAGGCCCGCTTGGTTCCGACACGCACGCCCCAGAGTCCGTCTTTCTGCTTAGATACGAGCCAGTCCCCATAACCAGAGAGAGGGAGAAACCTCGAAAAAGCACTCAAAGCTTTTCACCAGATTTCAGTTTAGGGGAAAAAAATTCCACCCCTGCACGTGCCACACACGTGTGCACAGCCAGGCGGGTGACATCAAGGCCAACACCTTCAGGAAACGATTCCAACCCGAGCCCGGCAGGTCTGTTGACTAAAATCAAAGAGCTGCGGGATCCGTGACATGCTGAGGCAGCCAGGCAGGCAAAGCCAAATGCCCCTGGGATGCCTGGGGGTCCCCCAGGGAGATGTGAACCAGAGCCCACGTGGGAAGGGCCCACAGCACTCACGGTGCCCCAGACAGGGAGACCCTGGGCTCGGAGGCAACAGTCTACACCCACAAATGAGCCAGGCATTCAGACGCCAGCCTGGAGCCGCACACATCATCTGCAGTCAATTGACTTTCCGTGATAATGTGGGTGGGCCTCATCCAATCTTTTGGAGGCCTTAAGAGGAAATACTAAGATTTCCTGGTGAAGCGGAAATTCTGCCTCAAGCGGCAGCATCAACTCCTGCTGGAGTTTTCAGCCTGCCCTACAGATTTCAGACTTGCCAGTCCCCACAGCCATGTGAGCCAATTCCTTACATACATATATGTATATTTCCAACCTGTCGGTTCTGTTTTCCCGGAGATCCTTTGACGGATACACAATTCACGGAGGCCGTGGGCTCCCGTGCTAGAGGCCTGGGGGCCCCAGACCCGTGGCTTCAGAGTCACGGTGATGTCAACTCTTGGGCACCGCCTAATGCTCCGTGCCCTCCAAGGATGCCACCCCACAGGAGAAGCCAGTAGCCAATCCAGCCCCTCCCTGGCTCGCTAGTGACAAGAGGAGCTATGGCGGCCCCTGTCTACACTAGCTTGGGGGAACAGGGGTGGAAGGCAAGCACCATTTCAGGGGGCAGCCCCAGGTTCTGCAGATACAGAGGCAGGGTGGAACCATCGGGTGGAATGAGCTCCATCGGCCTCCTGTAGGGTGACCGCTCACCTGGGACCCAGGCTTCAGACTGTGCACAACAAGGACAGAGATGCAGAGTCTGGAGGGGAGGTCCACAGCTGGCAACCCAGTCTGCTGGCACTTATGACTGAAGGTAGAAGGAGGGGTCTGCAGGGTCACACATCACACAGAGCCTAGTGTCACCGAGGTGACAACTGGTCAGGGTCATTCCTTGTCTTTCAGCCAAACCCTCAAAGGCAAAACTCGCTCATGCCCATCAGGATGGCTACTATCGAAACCCAGAAAATAACATGTGTTGGCAAGGGTGTGGAAAAATGAACAGATTTGTGTATTTCCGGTGGGAATGCAAAAGGGTGCAGTGGCTGGGGAAAACAGCGTTGAGATTCTTCAAAAAATTAAACCTAGAACCACCCGGTGATCCAGCAATTCTACTTGTGGGTACATACCCAGGTAGGATGGTTAACTTCCTGGGTCAACTTGACTGGGCCATAGGAGCCCCAGATATTTGGTTAAATGTGATTCTGCACGTGTCTATGATGGTGTTTCTGGGTAAGATTAACATCTGAATTGTGAACAGAGTCAAGCAGATTGCCCTGCCCTGCATGGGTGGGCCTTGTCTAATCAGGTGAAGACCTCAATATAACCAAAAGCTGTGTGATGGGGAATGCCTTCCACGTGACTGTGTGAGCCGGTGTCGGCCTTTCATGGCCTTCACACTGGGAGGAAACACTGGCTCCTCTTGGGTCTCCAGTCCACTGGCTTTCAGTCGGAAACCGACACCATCAGCTCTGCTGGGTCTCCAGCTTGCCAGGACTTCAGATCTCGGACTTCTCAACCTCCATAATAACAAATCTCTTTATGCGTGTGTGTGTGTGCACATGTACATACACACACATGCACACCTACGCACATCATGTTGGTTCTGTTTCTCTGGAGAACCCTAATGCAGATTTTTGGGCTGGGAGTGGGGGGTGCCACTCTGACGAATACCCGGAAAGCAGCTTTGGAAGAGGGCACGGGTACAGGCTGGAAGAGCGCTGAGGTGCACGCTGGACATAAGGACAGCGAAGGCCATCCTGAAGAGCTCTCAGTGGAAATGAGGAACAAGTCACGGGAAGCTGGAGGTAAGGAGATCCTCGTTATAAAGTGACAAAACTTGGCTGACTTGTGGCCACGTTCCAGCACTGTGTGGAAGGCGGAACTCGTGAGCAACAAAATTGAATGTCTAGCTGAGGAAGGTTCCAAGCAAAGTGTGGAAGGAGCGGCTTGGCTTCTCCTGACCGCGCAGAGTAAGATGCAAGAAGCGAGAGAGAAATCCAAAGAGGAATTGTTAAGCAAAAAGGAAGCAGAACTTGAAGATCTGGAAAATCCTCAGCCTATCCAAGATGCAAAAGATGAGAAAGCAGGTTCTGAAGAGAATACCAAGGGTGTGGCTGAACCATCACTCGGTAAATAGTTTATGGGATCCCAGGAGCAGAGACACTGCTGGGCTAAACTGAAGGGGATGAAGTTGGGACGAAATGAAATGAAGGAAGGTTGTTGGGCTTCCTGGGTGTGACAGGATGAGACAACAGAGCTATTTGGTGGCAAATATGCACTATTCTTCAAGAAGAGGGAAAAATGATCCCAAAGGCAATCCAGAAAATGTAAGGGCCACTGTCTCAGTTTCAACAGGTCGGACAGCCTTCACCTGAAGCCTGGGGGATGGGGAGCCGTGCGGGCGAGGCTGCTGCTGGGCAGAACCTGGAGCCGAAGAAGATTATTCGCGAGACTTAAGATCTCATGGCCTTTGCCTTGCCCGGTTTTGGAGGTGCCTGGGACCGTCCGTCCCTCCTTCTCTCTGATTCTTCTCTTCTGGAATGGGCACGTCTCTCCAGGGCCTGTCCCTCCGCTGTATTTTGGAAGCATGAACTTGTCTGGTTTCACGGGGTCTCAGCTGGAAAGGAACCCTGCCTCGGGAGGAACGGTACCACCAGGCTCACCCACACCTGCGGCAGATGACCTTCAGACGAGACTTCACACTGTAGATTTTGGAGATGGTGCTGGAATGTGTTTAGACTTTGTGGGCTGTTGAGATGGAACGAATGTATTTTATACGCGAGAAGGACGTGAATTTTGGGGAGCCAGGGGGTGGATTATTACAGACTCAATGTCTGTGTCTCCCCTGAATTCCTATGTGGCAGCCCTAACTCCCAGTGGGATGGTGTGCGGAGATGGGGGCCTTTGGAGGTCATCAGGTGCAGGTGAGGTCACGAGGGTGGGGTCCCCACGATAGGGTAAGTGCATTAACAGAAGAGGAGGAGATGCTCTCGTTCCCTCTCCACTGCGTGAGGACTCAGTCAGAGAGTGGCTGTCTGCAAGCCAGGAAGAGGGCCCTCACCAGGACCCAACCGCTGCCACGTTGACCTTGGACTTCCAGCCTCCAAATCTGTGAAAAACAAATGTCTGCTGTTTAAGCCCCCAGGACACGGTATCTCATTATGGCAGCCTGAGCAGATTAAGAGAGCGGGATTTCAAAGAGAACCGTACTTCCGTACTCATAGCAGCATTAGTCACAATAGCCAAAGGTGGAAGCAACCCAAGTGCCCATCGACAGAGGAACGGATAAACAAAATGTGGTCTAGCCATACAACGGAAGATTATTCAGCCGTAAAAAGGGAGGAAATTCTCACACCTGCTGCAACACGTATGAACCTTGAGGACGTGATGCTGAGTGAAATAAGCCAGTCGCAAAAGGACAAATGTTGTTTGAGTCCACTCACAGGAGGTACCAGGGTCATCAAATTCATGGAGAATCTGGTGGGTCCCAGGGGGTGGGGGGGAGGGGGAATGGGGAGTGGTAGTTTAATGGGGGCAGAGTTTCAGTTTTGCAAGATGGAAAGCGTTCTCAAGATGGACAGTTACGATGGTTTCAGAACAGCATACATAACGCCACTGAACTATACAGTTAAAAATGGTTATGACAGTAAAACTTACGTCACGTGTATTTTACCGCAATTTAAAAAAAAAAGGCAAAAGTCCACCTGGGTGGACCAGCAGGAGAGAAATTGGCAGAGAGGCGCTGTCTGGCCTCGG